AGTGTGTGTTTTTTTTTTTTCAACCAGATTAGCTACGTAACTATTTATATTGTGATGTGTGGGAAATGTATTCACCGAGATCGGCAAAGTTGATGTGTGGGAAATGAATTCACCGAGATCGGCAATGTTGAAGTGTGGGAAATGAATTCACCGAGATCGGCAATGTTGAAGTGTGGGAAATGTATTCACCGAGATCGGCAAAGTTGATATGTGGGAAATGTATTCACCGAGATCGGCAAAGTTGATGTGTGGGAAATGTATTCACCGAGATCGGCAAAGTTGATGTGTGGGAAATGTATTCACCGAGATCGGCAAAGTTGATATGTGGGAAATGAATTCACCGAGATTGGCAATGTTGAAGTGTGGGAAATGTATTCACCGAGATCGGCAAAGTTGATGTGTGGGAAATGTATTCACCGAGATCGGCAAAGTTGATGTGTGGGAAATGTATTCACCGAGATCGGCGAAGTTCCTGAAAGGCCGGCTTCAATCTACGTCCACTTTAATAAATAAGCAGGTATACATTTGCTGTTTATTTAAAGCCATCGACCTTCGGGCTCATTACGGCCCATTTACAGACTTCTTTGTGATGAATCGGCATCCTCTCCGTTCTCCGGGAATAATCTGCGCGCCGCAAGCTGCCCGGCCCGCGATCATTATTCCAAAACGGAAAAATTAATTGTAAATAACCAGCAGTCAATTAAGCCAAAGGTTTCTGCCGGCTAATGCAAATCTTTCCTAGTTTTGTTTTCAGTTAACCGGCTCATTAATGATTTATAGATGTGTATACAGCTGTGGGGACGGCGGTATTATCTAATGCACTCCGAGAATAATTACACATGAAAAGACGTCCGTGGTCTGGGGAGAGACTCAAAAATTACTTACTCCTTTTACTTTGGCTGTATTAAAATGTAAAATGTTCGAGAGAGACAGAGAAAAAAAAAAAAAAAATGCTTTCGTTGGTTGCAGCAAATTTTTTGTTTTTACGGCTTTCAAAGGGGGGAAAAAAAAAAATCCCTTTTTATGATTTTGTTAAGTGCTGATACTTCGCCGAGCTCTAAGATGCTTCTGTAAACAAAACATCAAGGCAAATGCAACAAAGACAGTAAGGAGCGCATTCATAATTTAAAAACTCGATTCATAAAACATTCGCCTCCCCCGTGCTCAACCTTTATTGCATTAATATCTAATCCCTTTCCGCGCAAAACAATTGAAAAAGCTAAAAACGCAACTTGCTTAAATTTTGTTTCGTTTTTCTTTTTTTTTTAACGGTTTCCCGTCCGATGTGTTTTCAAAAAACTGCACAATGTTGGTCCGTGGTCCGTGGCCTGGAAGGGCTTGGTGGTTGGCTACAACTCGAGTTGCCCTCTGCTCCTTAGGCTAATGTAGCACAGGCCCTTAACGGGCCATGAAGATTTGTCCCTGGTTCTATTCAAGTGAGTCCACGGCCGACAGGTACACAGCAGCTGTGGACTCCCCAAGAAAATAGGCCCCCCTGGCTCTAGCACAGCTGGGACCTCAATGAAATCTCTGCAGGCTTTCAGTTGACTTGTCAAGAAGGGCATCAACCCTTCCAGGTTGGGGTATCTTCCTCCAGGACGTCAAACCCACTATTTATGGGCTCTCTCTACACCTTCTGGGCGCACCTCCCCAGGGATTGGCTAGAGTTCCAAAAATATTCAAGCTCAGGGTCTGCCTCTTCCAGCCCACTACATTCTAGAACCTACCAAAAGAAAGGGAGAAGTAGTGGAGCCCATGAAACAAAGAACAGACAAAAATAGTCAAATGGCTCCCTGGTTCTGTTCAAGTGAGTCCACGGCCAACAGGTACACAGCAGCTGTGGACTCCCCAAGAAAATAGGCCCCCCTGGCTCTAGCACAGCTGGGACCTCAATGAAATCTCTGCAGGCTTTCAGTTGACTTGTCAAGAAGGGCAGCAACCCTTCCAGGTTGGGGTATCTTCCTCCAGGACATCAAACCCACTATTTATGGGCTCTCTCTACACCTTCTGGGCGCACCTCCCCAGGGATTGGCTAGAGTTCCAAAAATATTCGAGCTCGGGGTCTGCCTCTTCCAGCCCACTACATTCTAGAACCTACCAGAAGAAAGGGAGAAGTAGTGGAGCCCATGAAACAAAGAACAGACAAAAATAGTCAAATGGCTCCCTGGTTCTGTTCAAGTGAGTCCACGGCCAACAGGTACACAGCAGCTGTGGACTCCCCAAGAAAATAGGCCCCCCTGGCTCTAGCACAGCTGGGACCTCAATGAAATCTCTGCAGGCTTTCAGTTGACTTGTCAAGAAGGGCAGCAGCCCTTCCACGTTGGGATCTCTTCCTCCAGAACGTCAAACCCGCTATTTATGGGCTCTCTATCCACCTTCTGGGCACACCTCCCCAGAGATTGGCTATAGTCACACGCCTCCCCCCATGCTCAACCTTTATTGCATTAATATCTAATCCCTTTCCGCGCAAAACAATTGAAAAAGCTAAAAACTTTATTTTTTTAACGGTTTCCCGTCCGACGTGTTTTCAAACAAACTGCACAATGTTTGTCCGTGGCCCGTGGCCTGGAGGCGCTTGGTGGTTAGCTACAACCCGAGTTGCCCTCTGCTCCTCCTGAGTAGATAAAGTCTTAGGCTAATGTAGCACAGGCCCTTTACGGGCCATGCAGATTTGTCCCTGGTTCTGTTCAAGTGAGTCCACGGCCGACAGGTACACAGCAGATATGGACTCCCCAAGAAAATAGGCCCCCCTGGCTCTAGCACAGCTGGGACCTCAATGAAATCTCTGCAGGCTTTCAGCTGACTTGTCAAGAAGGGCAGCAACCCTTCCAGGTTGGAATATCTTCCTCTAGGACATCAAACCCACTATTTATGGGCTCTCTCTCCACCTTCTGGGCACACCTCCCCAGGGATTTGCTAGAGTTCCAAAAATATTCAAGCTCAGGGTCTGCCTCTTCCAGCCCACTACATTCTAGAACCTACCAGAAGAAAGGGAGCCCATGAGACCCAGAACAGACAAAAATAGTCAAATAGCTCCCTGGTTCTGTTCAAGTGAGTCCACGGCCAACATGTACACAGCAGCTATGGACTCCCCAAGAAAATAGGCCCCCCTGGCTCTAGCACAGCTGGGACCTCAATGAAATCTCTGCAGGCTTTCAGTTGACTTGTCAAGAAGAGCAGCAACCCTTCCAGGTTGGGATATCTTCCTCCAGGACATCAAACCCACTATTTATGGGCTCTCTCTCCACCTTCTGGGCACACCTCCCCAGAGATTTGCTAGAGTTCCAAAAATATTCAAGCTCAGGGTCTGCCTCTTCCAGCCCACTATATTCTAGAACCTACAAGAAGAAAGGGAGAAGTAGTGGAGCCTATGAGACCCAGAACAGACAAAAATAGTCAAATAGCTCCCTGGTTCTGTTCAAGTGAGTCCACGGCCAACATGTACACAGCAGCTATGGACTCCCCAAGAAAATAGGCCCCCCTGGCTCTAGCACAGCTGGGACCTCAATGAAATCTCTGCAGGCTTTCAGTTGACTTGTCAAGAAGGGCAGCAACCCTTCCAGGTTGGGGTATCTTCCTCCAGGACATCAAACCCGCTATTTATGGACACTCTCTCCACCTTCTGGGCACACCTCCCCAGGGATTAGCTAGAGTTCCAAAAATATTCAAGCTCAGGGTCTGCCTCTTCCAGCCCACTATATTCTAGAACCTACCAGAAGAAAGGGAGAAGTAGCGGAGTCTGAGACCCAGAACAGACAAAAATAGTCAAATGGCTCCCTGGTTCTGTTCAAGTGAGTCCACGGCCGACAGGTACACAGCAGCTATGGACTCCCCAAGAAAATAGGCCCCCCTGGCTCTAGCACAGCTGGGACCTCAATGAAATCTCTGCAGGCTTTCAGTTGACTTGTCAAGAAGGGCAGCAACCCTTCCACATTGGGATCTCTTCCTCCAGGACGTCAAATCCGCTATTTATGGGCTCTCTCTCCACCTTCTGGGCACACGTCCCCAGAGATTGGCTATAGTCACACGCCTCCCCCCGGTGCTCAACCTTTATTGCATTAATATCTAATCCCTTTCCACACAAAACAATTGAAAAAGCTAAAAACGCAACTTGCTTATTTTTTTTTTTTTTTTTTTTTTAACGGTTTCCCATCCAATGTGTTTTCAAACAAATTGCACAATGTTTGTCCGTGGCCCGTGGTCTGGAGGCGCTTGATGGTTGGCTACAACCCGAGTTGCCCTTTGCTCCTCCTGAGTAGATAAAGTCTTAGGCTAATGTAGCACAGGCCCTTCACGAACCAAGAAGATTTGTCCCTGGTTCTGTTCAAGTGAGTGCACAGGTACACAGCAGCTACGGACTTCCCAGGAAAATGCCCCCCCCCCCCCCCCCCCCCGACTCCTCAGTGAAATCTCTGCAGACTTTCAGTTGACTTGTCAAGAAGGGCAGCAACCCTTCCAGGTTGGGATATCTTCCTCCAGGACATCAAACCTGCTATTTATGGGCCCCTTCTCCACCTTCTGGGCACACCTCCCCAGGGATTGACTAGTGTTCCAAAAATATTCAAGCTCGGGGTCTGCCTCTTCCAGCCCCCTACATTCTAGAACCTACCAGAAGAAAGGAAGAAGTAATGGAGTCTATGAGACCCAGAACAGACAACAATAGTCACAATGCTCCCCCAGCTATATAGGATCCAAAAAGACTAAATTCTCTTCATCCTCATTGGCAACCTAACCTAGGAGGATCCCTCCAAAAAAAAAAAAAAAAAAAAAGGGGAAAGTGTTTTTTTTTCCGACCTCACTGATATTTGATAATGTAAAGGAACATTCTTCCTACTGACCCCCAATGTAAGGGACATTCTTCCCACTGACCCCCAATGCAAGGGACATTCTTCCCACTGACCCCCAATGCAAGGGACATTCTTCCCACTGACCCCCAATGTAAGGGACATTCTTCCCACTGACCCCCAATGCAAGGGACATTCTTCCCACTGACCACCAATGTAAGGGACATTCTTCCCACTGACCCCCAATGTAAGGGACATTCTTCCCACTGACCACCAATGTAAGGGGCATTCTTCCCACTGATCACCAATGTAAGGGACATTCTTCCCACTGACCACCAATGTAAGGGACATTCTTCCCACTGACCCCCAATGTAAGGGACATTCTTCCCCCTGACCCCCAATGTAAGGGACGTTCTTCCCACTGATCACCAATGTAAGGGACATTCTTCTCACTGACCCCCAATGTAAGGGACATTCTTCCCACTGACCCCCCAATGTAAGGGACATTCTTCCCACTGACCCCCAATGTAAGGGACATTCTTCACACTGATCACCAATGTAAGGGACATTCTCCCCACTGACCCCCAATGTAAGGGACATTCTTCCCGCTGACCTCCAATGTAAGGGACGTTCTTCCCACTGACCCCCAATGTAAGGGACATTCTTCCCACTGACCACCATTATAAGGGACATTCTTCCCACTGATCACCAATGTAAGGGACATTCTTCTCACTGACCACCAATGTAAGGAGCGTTCTTCCCACTGACCCCCAATGTAAGGGGCGTTCTTCCCACTGACCACCAATGTAAGAGACATTCTTCCCACTGACCACCAATGTAAGGGACATTCTTCCCACTGACCACCAATGTAAGGGACATTCTTCCCACTGACCACCAATGTAAGGGACATTCTTCCCACTGACCTCCAATGTAAGGGACATTCTTCCCACTGATCACCAATGTAAGGGACATTCTTCCCACTGACCCCCAATGTAAGGGACATTCTTCCCACTGACCACCAATGTAAGGAGCATTCTTCCCATTGACCCCCAATGTAAGGGGTGTTCTTCCCACTGACCCCCAATGTAAGGGACATTCTTCCCACCGACCACCAATGTAAGGGACATTCTTCCCACCGACCCCCAATGTAAGGGACATTCTTCCCACTGTCCCCCAATGTAAGGGACATTCTTCCCACTGTCCCCCAATGTAAGGGACATTCTTCCCACTGACCCCCAATGTAAGGGACATTCTTCCCACTGACCCCCAATGTAAGGGACATTCTTCCCACTGACCCCCAATGTAAGGGACATTCTTCCCACTGACCCCCAATGTAAGGGACATTCTTCCCACTGACCTCCAATGTAAGGGACATTCTTCCCACTGACCACCAATGTAAGGGACATTCTTCCCACTGACCCCCAATGTAAGGGACATTCTTCCCACTGACCACCAATGTAAGGGACATTCTTCCCACTGACCCCCAATGTAAGGGACATTCTTCCCACTGATCACCAATGTAAGGGACATTCTTCCCACTGATCACCAATGTAAGGGACATTCTTCCCACTGATCACCAATGTAAGGGACATTTCTTCCCACTGATCACCAATGTAAGGGACATTCTTCCCACTGATCACCAATGTAAGGGACATTCTTCCCACTGATCACCAATGTAAGGGACATTCTTCCCACTGACCCCCAATGTAAGGGACTGTCTTCCCACTGACCCCCAATGTAAGGGACATTCTTCCCACTGGCCCCCAATGTAAGGGACATTCTTCCCACTGACCCCCAATGTAAGGAGCATTCTTCCCACTGAGGCTGAGAAAGGCTGATCTATCAAGGTTGCCATAAGCCAACACCAACCCTTTCTCAGCTGGACAATGGACAAGGAGACGGTCACATGAGTCATGTGTTGATCCCCCGAAACACCTTTAAGCCACAACACATTGCTCTTGTTATTTGCACCCAGTTTAGCTATGCTATGCATAGAAGTTGTTTTATATTTTGGTAAGTAAGGACTATTGCTCTGCTCTCTGCCTCCTATGGTTTACGCTTTTAGCAGGTTGTGTGATACAATGTGACATTTTCCAGCTGAGATGTAGCCCACCGCTACGCTTCATTACCCGTGACTTCCTCCGAGAGGGCGAACGCAGTAAAAATAGCTTCTTCTCAAACAAAACGCTTAAATGAAATCTTTCCGGATATCCAAAATACAGACTCCGATTACAAGTGATACCAACTCGTGCTGCAAGAGGAGACCATTTCTACCGCTTTCAGATAAGACACCTCTTAAAGAGGAACAAGGGATTTTTTCATTTATATGTACACACTCACCGGCCACTTTATTAGGTCCACTTTTGCTAGTATTGGGTTGGACCCCCTTTTGCCTTCAGAACTGCCTTCATTCTTCATGGCATAGATTCAACAAGGTGTTGGAAACATTCCTCAGAGATTATGGTCCATAATGACATGATAGCATCACGCAGTTGCTGCAGATTTGTTGGCTGCACATCCATGATGGGAATCTCCCGTTCCACCACATCCCAAAGGTGCTCTATTGGATGGAGATCTGGTGACTGTGGAGGCCATTGGAGTGCAGTGACCTCATTGTCATGTTCAAGAAACCAGTTGGAGATGATTGGAGCTTTGTGACATGGTGCATTATCCTGCTGGAAGGAGCCATCAGAAGATGGGGACACTGTAGTCATAAAGGGATGGACATGGTCATCAACAATACTCAAGTAGGTCATGGTGTTTAAATGATGCTCAGATAGTACTATGGGGCCCAAAGTGTGCCAAGAAAATCTCCTCCACACCATGACACCACCACCAGCCTCAACCGTTGATACAAGGCAGGATGGATCCTCGACACCATGACACCACCAGCCTGAACCATTGATACAAGGCAGGATGGATCCACCACACCATGACACCACCACCACCAGCCTGAACCGTTGATACAATGCAGGATGGATCCTCCACACCATGACACCACCACCACCAGCCTGAACCATTGATACAATGCAGGATGGATCCTCCACACCATGACACCACCACCACCAGCCTGAACCATTGATACAAGGCAGGGTGAATCCACCACACCATGACACCACCACCACCAGCCTGAACCATTGATACAGGGCAGGATGGTTCCACCGCACCATGACACCACCACCACCAGCCTGAACCATTGATACAAGGCAGGATGGATCCTCCACACCTTGACACCACCACCACCAGCCTTAACCATTGATACAAGGCAGGATGGATCCATGCTTTCATGGATCCATCCTTACACCAAATTCTGACCCTACCATCTGAATGCAACATGCTGAAATCCAGACTCATCAGACCAGGAAACATTTTTCCAATCCTCTGTTGTCCAATTTTGGTGAGCATGTGAGAATTGTAGCCTCCGTTTCCTGTTCTTCGCTGACAGGAGTGGCACCCGGTGTGGTCTTCTGCTGCTGTAGCCCATCTGCTTTAAGGTTGGACGTGCTGTGCACTCAGAGATGGTATTCTGCATACCTTGATTGTAACAAGTGGTTATTGGAGTTACTGTTGCCTTTCTATCATCTCCAACCAGTCGGCCCATTCTCCTCTGACCTCTGACATCAACAAAGTATTTTCCTCCACACAACTGCTGCTCACAGAATATTTTCTCTTTTTCAAACCATTCTCTGTAAACCCTAGAGATGGTTGTGAGTGTAAAACATGTCGGAGGCCGTGTGATGGCATGGGTGAAGGCGGTGTGATGGCATGGGTGAAGGCGGTGTGATGGCATAGGTGAAGATGGTGTGATGGAATGGGCATGCGTGGCTTCCAGTGCCACTGGGTCATTGGTGTTTATTGATGATGTGACAGGAGCAGCCGGATGAATTCTGCCGTGTTTACAGATCTACTGTCAGCCCAGATTCAACCAAATGCAGCAAAGGTGATTGGACGGCATACAGATGGACAATGATCCAAAACACACTGCAAAAGCAACCCAGGAGCTTTTGAAGGAAAAGAAGTGGAATATTCTGCAATGACCGAGTCAATCACCTGATCTCACCCAACTGAGCATGCATTTCACTTGCTGAAGGGAAAACTAAAAGCAGAAAGACCCACAAACAAAGAACAACTGAAGACGGCTCCAGTTAGAGCCTGGCAAAGCATCAGAAAGGAAGAAACCCAGTCTTTGGTCATGTCCAGGGGCGAACTGATCATTTGGGTACTCGGGCACTGCCCAAGGGCCCGGGGTCAGTAGGGGGCCCCATGAGATGCCCGTGGTACCTTTCATAGGCTTTTTTGGGTGTGGTTTGAGTGTAGGCGAGGACACAGGGGCCCTATGATCTCCAATTGCCGAGGGCCCCATGAGTTTTCAGTCCACACCTGGTCAAGTCCATGGGTTCCAGACTTCAGGCAAAGCATCAGAAAGGAGGAAACCCAGTCTTTGGTCATGTCCATGGGTTCCAGACTTCAGACAAAGCATCAGAAAGGAGGAAACCCAGTCTTTGGTCATGTCCATGGGTTCCAGACTTCAGGCAGTCATTGCCAGTAAAGGATTCTCAACAAAATATTAAAAATGAACATTTTATTTATGATTATATTCAATTGTCCAATTACTTTTGGTCCCTTGAAAAAGGAGGATGGCTGTAATTCGTAAACCCTTCCTCCAATTTGGATGTACATACCTTCAAATTAAACCTGAGAGTGCGCCTTCCAGTTCGTATCCATTATAGAACTGTAGCTGGAATATGTTTTGGTAAATACCTGAAAAAAACTAAAATTGTGCCTGTGTCCAAATATATATGGACCTACCTGTATATACACACACACGGCTCAAAAAAATGAAGGGAAGGCTTTGAAAACCCATCAAATCTCAATGGGGAGGAATCTCCTGCTGGATCTCTATACTGACATGGACAGGGTGATGGGTGAGGAACATAAGGATGCCCCATCGTTTGATTGAAATGAAAATGATCGACCTACGGAGGACTGAATTCAAAGACGCCACAAAAATCAAAGTGAAGAAATGATGCAGCAGGCGAGTCCATTTCTCTGAAATTTCATTCATTGCAGCAACTCAGAATGGTCCTCAGTAGTCTGTGTGGCCCCCACGTGCTTGTATGCATGCCTGACAACGTCGGGGGAGGCTCCTAATGAGACCACGGATGGTGTCCTGGGGGATTTCCTCCCAGATCTGAACCAGGGCATCACTGAGCTCCTGGACAGTCTGAAGTGTAACTTGGCGGCATCGGATGGACCAAACATGACATCCCAGAGGTGTTCTATTGGATTTAGGTCAGGTGAGCGTGGGGGCCATTCAATGGTATCAATTCCTTCATCCTTCAGGAACTGCCTGCATACTCTCCCCACATGAGGCCAGGCATTGTCCTGCACCAGGAGGAACCCAGGACAAACTGCACCAGGAGGAGCCTAAGACCCACTGCACCAGGAGGAACCCAGGACCCACTGCACCAGGAGGAGTCCAGGACCACTGCACCAGCGTAGGGTCTGACAATGGGTCCAAGGATTTCATCCCGATACCTAATGGCAGTCAGGGTGCCATTGTCTAGCCTTTAGAAGTCTGTACCTCCCTCCATGAATATGCCTCCCCAGACCATCACTGACCCACCACCAAAATGGTCATGCTGAATGTGCTCAGGGTGAACCTGCTCTCATCTGTGAAAAGCACAGGCCGCCACTGGTGGACCTGCCAATTCTGGTGTTCAATGGCAAATGCCAATCGAGATCTATGTTGCCGGGGAGTGAGCACAGGGCCCACTAGAGGACGTCAGGCCCTCAGGCCACCCTCATGAAGTCTGTTCCTGATTGTTTGGTCAGAGACATTCACACCAGTGGCCTGCTGGAGGTCATCTTGTAGGGCTCTGGCAGTGCTCATCCTGTTCCCCCTTGCAAAAGGAGCAGATATTGGTCCTGCAGATGGGTTAAGGACCTTCTATGGCCCTGTCCAGCTCTCCTAGAGGAACTGCCTGTCTCCTGGAATCTCCTCCATGCTCTTGTCTCCTGGAATTTCCTCCATGCTCTTGTCTCCTGGAATCTCCTCCGTGCTCACGTCTCCTGGAATCTCCTCCGTGCTCACGTCTCCTGGAATCTCCTCCGTGCTCACGTCTCCTGGAATCTCCTCCGTGCTCTTGTCTCCTGGAATCTCCTCCGTGCTCTCCTCTCCTGGAATCTCCTCCGTGCTCTCGTCTCCTGGAATCTCCTCTGTGCTCTTGTCTCCTGGAATCTCCTCCATGCTCTTGTCTCCTGGAATTTCCTCCATGCTCTTGTCTCCTGGAATCTCCTCCATGCTCTTGAGACCGTGCTGGGAGACACAACAAACCTTCTGGCAATGGCACGTATTGATGTAGCATCCTGGAGGAGTGTGTTTCAAATACCAGCTATGGTCAGCTGCATAGATATAAAAATGTGGGTTACCATGGTTTGGAAGCGATTAGGCCATAGGGAAGACTCCATACCTAGTAGGTCCTCTTGAGTGTTGATC